CGATATAGTCTCTGAGAAATCAAGCCCTTAAAATAAATAATAAAAAAACATTTGGTACACCTTAACCCTTTGAGTACCATCATTATAGACACAATTAAAGAACAATAGGTTGCGGTCACCGGCGTCCTCGCGGTGTTTGACAGTTTAAAAGTACTGCGGTACCTGCAGTCCCCACAAATTTATCCATAGGCGTTCAAAATGGCCGTGGGAACCAGACTGGACAAAAGTCACACATAAGAGCAAATAAATTGTACTTCAGTTTATCTATGTGGGTGAATGTTTGATTAATTGTTATTTAATATTTACTTATATATCTAGTTATTATTATATTGTTCAAATCACGTGTATGCTCCGTACGTTTAAATTGGTAGCGCTATTTTTAACCCAAGGGATGCTCCAGTGCTTTTTTGGGTGGACCTACACCGCGTTTAATGCAAGAATTAGGTACCTTTTAAAACGATATTTTTTTTCATAAACAAATTCTAAACTATGCATAGTGTGTAAAATCCTTTTAAGTGTAGGAGAGCTGTGCATTGACTCGAATGGGCCGGCTTGACCGGAGTGACACCACGGCCTCACCGAAAACTGACGTGAAACAACGAATGCGTTGTGTTTCGTCGTTTGAATGAGGTTACCGGAAGCACAAATACCCCCGCTGTTCCCCAATCCCTGAATCCCTAACATTCCTCAAATTCCTAATCCCCAAAGCCGGTAACGCACTTGTGACACCTCTGGTGTTCCAGGTGTCCATGGGCGACGCTGATTGTTTACCATCAGGTGATCCATCTGCTCTTTTAGCGGCTTATCCCACAGTAAAATAATCATAGAAAAAAAATGTATCTAATTAAAATTTTGTTTTTGTTTGCGTAAATGTGTGGTTAAACTAGATTTTTTTGGATTTATATAACCATAGATTTGGCTAGACCCTTGACACACTTCTGTATGAAGCATACGTCAAAATTGTAATTCAAGTACCTAACGTTATTGAGATTGACTGGAAATAATGGCCTTACTCACGAAGGTTAAAGGGCACACAATGGGAACTAGGGACTTCAAGGGACATAGGAAGTATAATAAATTGGCCTCTAAATATATATTAGGGCAAGGTTTCAGCCTTGTCCTAATTTGTTAAAAGATTCTAACCTTGCTATCATTTATTTAGAGGTTAGATTGAACTTCCTATGCCCCTTAAAGACCCTCATAGTTCCCATCCTGTGCCCTTTAACAACCTTTGATTATGACAAGGCTGAAACCTTGCCCTATTTTACATAGAGGCCAATTGTACTTCCTAGGTCCCTTCAAGACCCTCCTAGTTTCCATGATTGCCCTTCATGATTACGGTCATTAGTTCCAGTTAGTTTCAATCAGTAGTTCTCAGCCATCGGGGAACGGACGAGGAAGAGGTGTTTGCTCACTGGTGACGTCAGGGATGTCTTACGGCTGATGATGATGATAAATGTATCTCCGTATCCAGGTTTTGATATTGTTAATAGTATGTAGTCTGAAAGTGCTCCCTATTTTAATGGAAGCTACTTATAGGAATAATTAACAAAAGAAATATAAGAAACGTCCGCTACTTTGTTGTTGAACATAATTTGTTCATCACGTCATTAGTTATATCCTATTACAACAATGTAACTAATAAAAAACAGGTATTAAAACTACTACTATAGACTGATATAAAAAATTTCAAACTGCGCAATTCGAATAAATTGTTTGAAGTTCGTCTGTGATCTAGAGGCGTGACGAAGGGCTAAGGGCTCAGTGTGGGTAGGCCTCTATTGGAGAACTGACTTTGGTGAAGGTCATGAGAAAAAGTCAGATACGGCCTGTTGCAGAATGATAATGGTGGTTTAGAAGGGCCTCAAAACACGCACTTCTTTAATAGATTGAATTGATTAATTTTAACCTTACTGAGGTAGAATGGAGTTGAACATATTTTGAGGAATTTAATGTATATACCTACTTACTTGTATTATGGAAGTGGAACTGGTGGAAGGGCCATATTATGTACAGTTGGAAATTTCTGTGTAGTTCGGAACGGAAGCGCTGTTTTTTACAATCTGGCTCCAATCCAAAGTGTAGTAAATAATCTACATCTTGACTTTTTATTTATTAATCAGTGGAGAGAGTTGAAATCTCACTCTTCTCTTTTGTCATTGAAATGATTTTGCTAAGAAGACCAAGAAAAGATGATGAAGATCAAAGAAGAAAATGTTCGATCGAGGCTGAGTAACTTGAGTTGAAGGCAAGTAGAGATAAGACTTAAATAGATGAATATAATTATCAAGTTGTTTATATGAGAAATCAAAATAATGTTCTATCTTTCTTTCAGTGCATGTCCTTCAGCACAAAATGACGATTACGTACATTTTATGCGCCTGTTTAAATTATGTTATATTATTACATTGATATGCGATAATGCTCGAGCCGGTGCGTAGTTGCGATTATCAAATGTTATCCAAGCAAATTGGTAAGTAGCTAATTATTTACTTGCATATATTTTATGCATTTATACGACTAATTAACTTGTTTAGTCATCGTTTGACCTACATTTTGCAGGATATAGTTAAGTCTTACAAGTCGTTATGGTTTTAAAGTAAAATAAAATCGTAAATTTATTATGCAAGGGCTTATAATGTTTTTTGTGAAGGAACCATAAAAATTACAGATCTATCTGTATCCATAAAACATTCGTCTCCAGTCGATTATTCCTGTGAATAGACAATCAGACTTACCTGGCCTGGCCCCCTGGGTCCATCTAACAACGACCGACTTTTAAACGATGTTATCTCAACAGAACATCGATTTACATTCCATTGACAACACAGCACGAACCTTAAACAAAAACAGCCTGCATATCGTTCAATGTATGATGAATTCGTAAATTATAATCGGCACTTCGATAAAACTCGGAATACCTAAGTATATATGAAACGGTCGAACATAAATATTTAATATTTAGGGCAATTTGAAAAACAAATGTTTTCTTGCAATATTGAATCTTTTGTTGTTCGGTGTAGTAGGTCCATTTTAGTCAGTAGGTGCTTTGACACGTGACGAGAAGTTTGTGTTACTAGTATTGGCTAGTTAAACGCTTAGATTGTTAGTATAATTTATTGTGAGTTATATTAAACTTCCTGTCTAACCACATTATCAAGTAAGTAACTTATAACACTACTCACCGTATTTGTTATTGTTATAAAGTTTATAACGCAAAAGTTTGGTTAGAAATTATAGACCAATCACAAGCGATGACATCACATTTTGCCCTTTTTCGGTTGGTAGCATTGAGTACCACAGATAAACTAGATGAATGAATGATTTATTTTTAGGCCGTGCTTAAAAATTGTGACACTGGTTCACGCGGTCTTGTGCAACATTCTTATCATACGGATGGTTATATTATAACATGTTATTGTGTAGGTGAATGGTATTTATTTGATAAGATATTGATGTAATCAAATATTGATTATTTTATCAGTTCACATTTTTAGTTGTTCTTCAATGTTGCATGGAAACTTTTTTAGACAGATATTCATCAGCGAAAGTTATTTCCTAGGTATGTTAACCAATATTTATTGTTTCATTTAGTAATTAAATAAATAAATGAAAGAGGTAGTTATTTGAAATAGACGGAGACATAATTGTATAGTTGGTCTATATGTCTATGAAGACAGAGCCTACGTTAGTGTGTGCCTACGTTTATGTACGAATGCTCGACGACATCAAGCTAACTGATTCAAATTCAGCCTTATCATTTAGCAATAAAGTCGAAAATCTATTGAAGATTCTTCAAAGTTTTTGGTTAACTTGATGAACTGGCATGTAGCATAAGTATATTGTATGTACATAGAATTACAGGATAGTTCATGTAACTTATATGGTATTACGTAATAGGTACGTAAGTGATACATAGAGGTAATACGTAGATTCTTAGTTCTACTGACTGTAGAAAATTTTTCGGGGATATATAATGACATTATAATGTAATGCGTGTTTTTTATGGAATAAGTGTTACCACCCAAGTCTAAAGACTAAGGGAGAGGTATTTGGTTATCAATGGACGGGTTCTAAGTTGTGATTATGATAACGATGATAAATCGTAATGTAAAGCAAAATATTGGCTACCTATTTCTCTTTAATTAAGTTTTTTTTTACAAATGACTTAATATAAGTACAATAATTATAAAATTTCTGTTTATGAACATTGGACAAGTATGAGCTAGATATTGTGCGAAACTGTACACCGCCACTATTCGATTATTTGCTTAGTTGAAGTAACATATTTCAGTGTACGTTGCAGTACCGTCTTATACATTTACTCATACGATGGTTATGTACACACGGCTACACATCGAGCTTTACATAACCAGTATAAACTGAACGTTAAATGTGCGGAAAGATGATGCGACGCGACACCAGGATAAACTGGATTTGTATAGATTGATGTGTGGCCGTGTGTACGAAGCTGTCATCATTATAATATATTATTATCAATTCATACCTTATGGTATCTTTATTAAAACAAAAAATAACTCGTCGATTGGTTGAATAATAATAATACCGAATAAATGCGGTCAAAAGTTTAATATAATAAAATATTTATCTAGAAACTATCCCGAAAGTGAACGACACTTAGATTTTAGGAGTGTTTTTTTTTGTAAAGGCTCCATGCTATAATATTTATTTTCTAACTAGTTATCATTTTCAGACGATCGCTAAACAAAACAAAGTCGACAGCTTTAGGCAGCTCGTAAATATTGTTGTTGCAAAAAAGCTAGACGGTAGACATTTCTATACCTAACCCTAACATAATCTTAGACGTCTCGGAGAACAAAGACCAGAGACAAAGAGTCTGTAGCCTTTACAGCCAGACATTTTTTTTAAAGCATTTATTTGAAAGTGGCCTGTCTAATATTCTCCGTAGTTCTTTTTTCAAATTCCTTCGTCTACTGTATAATAAGGGAACCTATGCGCATCTTTTGTTTTAGATCGGAATGGATTTTTTCTTTTTATGGCTAGTAACATTCGTCGCGGGATTTTGGATTTTTAAAAAAATAAAGGAATGGCAGAACTTGCCTCCTGGGCCTTGGGGCTTACCGATTGTTGGTTACTTGCCTTTCTTGGACCGTCATCAGCCGCATTTGACTTTGACTAAATTATCCAAGCAATATGGACCGATTTATGGCATTGGTATGGGCAGCGTGTATGCTGTCGTTTTATCTGATCACAAACTGATAAGAGATGCCTTTGCTAAGGACAACTTTTCGGGACGAGCGCCGTTGTATTTGACGCACGGTATTATGCATGGAAATGGTAAGTGCAATTTTTTTTATAATATTTTTTTTTAAATATATTGGTTTGAAAAGCACTGACTTATTGGACGTGTAAATTTTAGGGTTCGATTCCTCAGCCGAATTCAACAGTAGCATAGTGTTTGAAATCATACCTGCATACATGATTACGATGTAAACAATCCTATATTATTATTTGTCTTCAGTATTTCTTTATTGTTTGTTGAATATAATTATAATTTTCTTTTTAAAGGTATTATTTGCGCTGAAGGCAGTCTGTGGAAGGACCAGAGAAAGTTAATAACGATGTGGCTGAAAAGTTTTGGTATGAGTAAGCATAGCGTGTCGCGAGAAAAGTTGGAAAAACGGATAGCTTCGGGTGTCTACGAACTTTTAGAAGTATGATTTGTATTCTATACTTACTACCTAATATTGATTCTAAGTTTTGTGAAAAAATATCCTACCTTTTATGAAAATAGCCTCTGTTACTAACGTAACAAAGTTCATTTTGATGAATTCTGTTAGCCGAAGATCTTGATTAATATATTAGCTAAATGTGTCACCTACCAAATGGTCGCAATTTTTTTATTTGAACATGGGCATTTGTTTACAATGTTATTAATTATTTTCATTTAAAAGTTGACGTCACATTTATAGTTTTATTTGTGACCAATAATAATTTAAACTGTCAAACACCGCGTGGTCACTGGTGACCGCAACCTATTGTTCTTTAATTGTGTCTATAATGACCGTACTCAAAGTGTGATATTAAAGTATTAAGCCTGTATTTCTATAAGAATGAATTTAAACAGAAAACATGGACACAGTCATCTATTTTATATCCTTCTATTCTTTAGAACGTCGAGAAGTCTGAAGGGAGCCCAATGGATTTGAGTCACATGCTGACGAATTCTCTAGGAAATGTTGTGAACGAAATTATCTTCGGTTCGAAGTTCCCCCCTGACGATAAAACCTGGAATTGGTTTAGACAGATCCAAGAGGAGGGGTGTCACGAAATGGGGGTGGCTGGTGTTGTTAACTTTTTACCCTTTATTAGGTAAGCATCAAACATTTTTGGGTTTTCACCGAATCGATTTATTATTATAAATAACTTTTAATCTAATCTTGAAGCTAAATGTATGTCTAGACATTATTATTAAACAGTCTCTGATGTAGACAGACAGATACTTCATATCTATTCGTCCAAAGTGCGTGGTGTAATTATATTGTTTTGGTCTTCCTCAAAATTAAATAGTAGTCGCATACAAGTTCAGACATTTTTTGCAAACAAGATGTTGTGTTATTACAATTTACCAATTTTGTGCAATAAGTACCTTTAACACCTACAATAAAGGTTTATTTTAGGTTCATTTCTGCATCAACAAGAAAAACAATTGAAGTTCTAACACGCGGTCAAGCTCAAACTCACAGATTGTACGCAAGCATCATCGATCGGCGACGAAAAGTTTTAGGATTAGCGCCAGTGAAAGAAGCAGCATATCCCCTTCACGAAAACTTGTTTAATGAACACCCAGACGGTCATATTAAATGTATCAAGTACAGCAAACACGCGTCCGAACACGAAGAACATTACTTCGATCCGAATATTCTAATACCAACGGATGGGGAGTGCATCCTTGATAATTTCCTTCTAGAACAGAAGAGAAGGTATGAGAGTGGAGATGAAGGAGCTAAGTACATGACGGATGAACAAATGTTGTATCTTCTGGCTGATATGTTTGGAGCTGGTCTTGATACTACATCGGTGACGCTGTCCTGGTTTTTGCTGTATATGGCCCTTTATCCTGAAGAACAGGTAAGGTTCGAAATATATTTTCTTTTAAGTTGCTGTATAGAATATTATAACACAACAATCTGGATTGTCATCTGGAAGTCGAATCAATATTATATATACTTGTTTAGAAACATTCGTCTTGTCCATTCATTTCATAATGATTTGTGTGAGCAAGAGTTTGTAATCAAAATGTCAATCACTACGATTGACGACGCGAAATGTTCACGCTTTACAAAGCTGAAAGGCACATCAAGTCTTTATTAAGTTAAGGTAATTGTACATACTTGAATGTACAGACACTAGGCACATATGCGTGAAACTTAATGCACATAATTTATGATAAAGTGTACAAAAGCTAAATTATTACATTTTATTCAATTGGAATTTACCAAAGAATATGTACTTCGGTTGTTTGATTTCGTTAAAGTTGGGGTTAATAACACGGCTAGCCTAAAACGCTGCAGAACAAAGTGGTAACAACTTTACTTAAAACTTTCAGCTACTTAAAACTTTAATCTCATGATTCTAAAACACATTATTATTTCAGGAAATAGTTCGGAAGGAGATTCTATCAGTGTACCCTGAGGATGGCGAGGTGGACGGTTCCAGACTGCCACACTTGATGGCTGCCATTTGCGAGACGCAGCGCATTCGATCGATAGTGCCCGTCGGAATCCCCCACGGATGCCTCCAAGTATGCATATTTTTATTGAAAACTACTTTCAGAATTATCCGTTAACAATCTAGAATATTTTCTATATTTTCTGAACCCTTATTCCTAGTGGATATGTAAGATATGGATATTTCATAACTGGAAAAAGTATCTTAGCTTGGTTTCAAAATATTCAACTCTAGTGTTTGGCAATAACTTCGCAACTTATCGCAAGGGAACACTAACACATCGACTATACCATCGAATCGAAAACTTGAAGAACTGTTTAGAAAACTACTGTGAAGTTTTCTCAAGGGAAATATAAAGTCTCTTTCTTTCACAGGACACTTTTATAGGAAACTACAGAATTCCCAAAGGTGCTATGGTGATTCCATTGCAGTGGGCTCTGCATATGGATCCAGATGTTTGGGAAGACCCTGAAGTATTTAGACCACAAAGATTCCTAGCTGAAGATGGAAGTTTGCTTAAACCTCAGGAGTTTATACCCTTCCAGACAGGTAATATAATCATAAGAATTATGAAGTACATTACTTTAATTCCTATCTTTGAGTAACTGATTCTGACTAGATCTGAATTTTATTGTACTTTATAGGGCTGATAACAGTACGAAATGTGGGTTTAGTTTAACTGTGTGGTCACGTATCTCATAGTTTGTTTGATTTGTCTATGTTTAAGTTTAGGATATTACTCAAGTCGTAGTACTTAATACTGCGTATTAACCTAAAGATGATGTCAAAATAAAGTATACTTATATATCTAATTGATTTACGTAATGATTGTTGAATAAACATTAATGCATTACTTAATGTTCAAATATTTTCAAATGCTCAACCCATGTCAGTTTGAGCAATAAATTCCAAAGTTCCGTACCTACCTAGGTATGTACTTAAAACTTTAGATTTTCCAAAGAGAAAGAGCTGAGGTAGAAATGGATGAAATTAAAGTTTATTTTTCTTAAACCCGGTTTTACGACTCATGTCATAAACGGGTGAGGTTTCCTTAAGGATGTTAGGATTTATGGGTTTGTCTGGTTAGTTTTATCTCACATTTCGCGGGGTTTTGTCCGTTTGCTGTATCGTAACTATAGTTTGGTTCTACTTTGTTCTTAATATAATGTAGTACAATGTACAACCTACGTAGGTATTATATATGTAGCTATTTCTTCGAAGTGATAAAGCGTCTTTTGTTTTATTTTATACTGCAGCTTTTAATATTGTTAATAAGAGATTTTTTTTGTTGTTCTTAATTATCTCGACATCGTATGAGTATTGTCGTCAATTGGTTTTACCCTAACATAAAACGACCTTTTTAACTATATGTAAGCAACCAGGAAGGAGTTTGCTTTGTGAGACAACGCCACGAATCAGTATTTATTTTATTATATGATATTTCGCAACTTTTATGATGAAAAAATAGTAAATTACTTTTCTGAAGATTATGATATCGATAATACGGATATAGGGAAGTGTGAAAAAATATATATCCCAAAACATTAATTTTGGGCAAATAATAAATTGTTTTCGTGTGGTACTAGCTTTATACCTCCTTTTACGTATCTACGAACGTCATAACTTTAACATTACGTATTTATACAGGAAAAAGTTATTAATAATTTTGAATAATAATTTATTTATCTACAGGAAAACGTATGTGTCCCGGTGACGAACTCTCGCGGATGTTGGCGTGTGGTTTAGTGGCGCGACTGTTTCGGCGTCGGCGCGTGCGCTTGGCGACCGATCCACCCTCTACGAAAGATATGCAAGGAACTGTCGGCGTCACCCTCTCACCGCCAACCGTTTCATACTATTGCGACCCTTTATGATTATGATTTGATGATTTTTAGTATTTCAGTATTTCGTGTGACAAATAAAATACTAGCAAACAATTGATTTTGGTTTTATATTTTTTAAACTGATGTGGTGTGCAATTAAGAATTTAAAATTGGAATTTTGTAATAGTAGTTATAAAGAAATGAAAGCTGCGTACGAGTACAAAAATCTTGCTTTTAGTTAAACTGAACACTGGGGACTGAACGAGTTTTACCCTGACTGTACAGCGCCACGTGCACGCGCAACCAATTACAATGGCTGTACATTATACTACAATTAATTGAATTTGCTAATCGCTTGCTAATTATATGCAGAAACGTGAATTATATTATAGTGTAAACACTGCCACAGACTGGGCAGTTTGCGATAGGTTCCATATGAGTAATGGGAAAGACCGTGAGTAATGTCAGCCTGGTCGGTTCCCTCGTACATAGAAATTGTACAAGTCTAGTCTACGTGCCTTTATCTGTGACGTATCCTGTCAAGGGGTCATTCACCTTCAACATTACTTAATAGTGTTTATGTTCACGCAACTGCACCTTTACAAACTAGCATACCAGTTTAATTCAGTTTAAATTATTTAAATGTTGCAGTTACGAAAGACTAAAGTTCAATAAACTTTGTTTTGTAAGCCCAATGAATTTTAAGTTAATGCCATTATTTAATCTTAATAATTTATGTGTATTTTAAGGGGAAATACTTCATTAATACTGACTGATATTTCTTTAGAAATAGTCAATGCGTATATTTGGTTCGTATGCCAATTTGTATCAACTTTTCATATTTACGGACTATCTCTTTGGTTTTTCAGAGAATTTTTCGGTTTAATGAAACAAGGTATTTAAATTAATGTTTTCACAATTAGTTTATTACTTAATCTATACAACTTACAATAAAACAGAGCATTATATACAAAGCTTATATTAGTCCAACAGAAAACGGTGAGCTCATATAGCTTACAGACTTATGCGACTGAAGTTCAGTACAGGGCAACTAGGTTGCAACACTATGAATTTAGTACAAAACAAGAACATTAAAGTTAGGCGTTATTCAATTACACAGCGACGATATCGCTCTAGACTAGTTGCTGGTTGTTACTCTACCATGGAATGTTACTTCATACCTGATAGGTACAGATTACACTAACATACAAATACACTTACAGTCCTTACACATATAGCCTACTGTAACGCAACAATCATGAGATCACACACAACATACCACATTCACGCAAGTGACACTAATAAATAATGACCTAGATTCTACATTTTATTTTGGTATAGGTACTAGAACTTAGAAAGTAAACCTTAAATACAAATGTGTAATGGTGTGATTTGCTGAACTTCCTACGATTCTAGTCTACCAACATTCTAATACTGCAAACTCACACAAACGTCATTGTATAATCTCAACGATGGGTACATCAATATATCTAACGTTCGGTCTACTATGTATGTAATTGAACACTTTATTTATGCACAGCCTCGAACATCGCTGTGGCGATGTGGTTATTTTATAATTAAGACTAATTTAAAAATGGTTTTCGATTCGCTCTAAAACGAGTGATCATTGAATACTGGTGGGTGTGGGTTCGCGCGTAGAGGCGCGATGTATCGCGTTGTAGCGCGTTGTAGCGCGGCGCGGGCGTCTAGTGCGCGCCGACGTGGCGCAGATGGGGGTGGTCGGGCGCGGCCGCGGCCGGGATGGCGCGCGGACTGAACTTCACGCGGAACGCCTGGGGCGCGATGGTGGCGCCCACTGTGCCTTCCAACGACGGCGGAGCATCACCCGTCTCCATTTGAACGTCGAACTGGTGCATCATGCACGCGAAGAACATGAACATTTCCATGCGTGCCAACACATCGCCCAGGCACATACGCCTTCCGACACCGAAAGGCATAAAAAACTCAGGTCTTCTGATTTTGCCTGTTTCGTCCATGAAACGACTGGGGTTGAACTTGTTGGGCTCGTCCCATAAATTGGGGTCCATGTGTACGCAGTTGATGAGAGGAATAACTTGAGAACCCGCCGGGATCCTGTAGCCATTCAAATGGACATCCCTGAAAAAAAGTGTTGATAAGTATTTTGTCTTTACAAAGAAGGATTTTTGATTATATTTAAGATTTTAATTATTCTATACTTACTTCGTTGGTGAATGCGTTGTTGCTAGGGGGACAATGTTGGACATGCGAAGAGTTTCTAAGATTGTTGTCTCGGTATAAGGTAAATTTGCCATATCTTCGATGGCAGGCAAACGTTCGCGACCGATTACAGCATCGAGCTCTTCCTGTACGCGTCTCTTCACATCAGGGTTCCTCAGCATGAATACAATCATCCATAAGAGAGACGACTTGATAGTCTCCATCCCGGCAGAGAATAGGTCTCCAAGAATCTGCTTAATTTGCAGTTCTGCAATATAAGAGCTTATTTAGAAACATTTCAAGAAAAAAACTAAGATATATTATAACGTGGTTTTTGCATTATGATAAAAACCTGTCTGTTTGTATTTTTGTATGAAACTTACCATGGTCCCTGCCCTCGAACAGTTCCCCGGCGCGGCCCTCGGTTTTGGCCTTCTCGATCTCGATCAGATAAACATCGATTAGGTCTCTCACGTTATCGACATCAAGAGTTTCACGATGTTCGTCGATCAGAGTTTGATAGAAAGCAAACATCTCTTCACGATTCTTGGCCACTCTCTCTTGTGCTTGTGCTTTGCCGGGAAGATACTGTGACAAAAATGGGATTTGTTCGTAAAATTTTTACAACATAAACAATTTGTACGAAATTTTAACCAAGTGAATTTATTTTATATTAATAGTTTTATTAACGGACTTCTTAAAAAGAATGAGGTTCTTAGTTTGTTTTACTATCTCGCGATTGGCTGAACCAATTTTCAGGAAAATGTTTGGTTCACTTAGGAGGTTTTAGTATATTAATAAACCGACCTCAAAAAAGAGGGGGTTGAAGACGGTTTTTGTAAACGTTTATGAAAGAATTATTTATCGGACTTATGTTGTCAAATGAATACTTACGTTGTATAAAGGCACGTATTCACCATAGTGAACTTCTCCAAACAGCCTCATGCCTTCCTCAATGAGATTGTTGAGCCTTTCGAAGCGAGCGTCGCCGTTACTGAAGCGCACGGACATCGTAATGCCGCAGATGACGTTAGACACGCCCAAAGCGAGGAGAGGGTTCGCGTCAATGGGTGCTCCCTCCGCGCGGTGCAGGTTGGCGATAAGCTCGTAAACTTCGCTCTAATAATAAAGACGTGCCCATTAGTCCGATGATCAATTTATGATAAATTAACAGTATTCTAAATATTTTAAGGGTGAAAAACGAACCTTAATCCTGGCCTCCATTATTTTCTTGCCATTTCCCATGTAAGTCATGCCGAATTCTCGCAGTTTTTCGTGCAGGAATCGGCGCTGGCTCTTCCAGAGGCGGCCCTCGCTGTTGATGATGCCTGCACAGAGGGAGGCGTTATAGTGAGGGCTCACAAGGTGGGCGGCGCACGCGCACCGCCGACGGGAGGGACGTAATAGTGACGCCCACATGCATATGTAAACGTCACTTTTGTCGCCGGTATATTGCGGGTTACAGTAACGTTTGTAAAACTTAAACATATATGTTTCAGAATTTTCAGTAAATTATGCAAACTGACTAAGGGTTAAAACAATGTTGTAACTATTTTTTTAAATCGAAATAAGTACAAGAATTACTTTTGTGAATATTAAAAGAATAATAAAAATATATTTATGTACTCACCGAGACCATCCAAAGTGTGCATGAGCGGGGTGTTGGGACGTCCAGTGAACTCTTCCCTCCGGAAAGCTTCTCTGATGAGTTTGTAGTCGCTGAGAACGATTGTCAACTGATTTCCGAGTCGTGCGGAGAACAGGGCACCGTAGTTACGAGCAAGCTCCAGGAAGGTCTTGTGGCGCACTCCAAGGAAGGGCAAGTAGCCGACGACTGGAGGACCCCACGGGCCGGGAGGCAGCTTGCGCATCTCAGTCAGCAACGACACCAGCCGCAGCACCAGCAAAGCCATGGCCGCCACCAGCAGCAGTGGTAGCGAAATACGCGATACGACGGTGTTTGACACCCACCAAAGTCCCCACAATAATTTGGAATTATATATAACTGTGATCATTTTGACTGTTTATATTGTCTTTATAATCTAAATAAACTGTTTTATGTTATTTAGTAAACGAAACGTAGCATTAGTGCGCGGATCGTAAATCGCGATAATGTGACGCCGAGAACTCAGTGATTGTATATCGCGTGCGACCGACGTCTGCGCACTGGCGCGCCGCTGGCGTGGCCTTGCGAATAAATACGCGCGGGGTGGCGAGCATGCAGGCTCGTCCCACCGGCGCAGGCGCTCCTCTCTCCACCGCTTTTCCGGCGCCCCGGTGTGCTACGAAACCCGTAGCACTACACTCGTAGACCACTTTTATTTTTTTAATGTAGACCGCGATTGATTTGCGGATTTTTGCAAGCGTACAATTTATTTATTGATATTTGTTTCACCACTGTTTGAAACTTTTTTATTATACTTATAAAATTTTAATATAAATATATTTATTTTTGTTTAATGTTATGTTTATACTAATTAAATATTAAGTCATACCAGTTAGATGTTGATGTCGTGATTTTACTTACCCATTTCGCATGTTAAATAGGAACTGACTTTGGGGGTGACCTCACTTACTTTACCTATTGATGTTAATGTAGGCGTCGAAATTCGGCGAGGGGTGAGAGGGGAGATCGAGGTCGTGCGGGTGCGCATGCAGATGATAAGATTAACAAATTGCGTAAGTTGGCGCGAGGCAAGGTGACGGCGGGTCGACGACTCGCGATTGAGAGCCTTGGGCGAACTTCTACTCTGCTCGACCTCTAAGCGACACTTAAATATCACTCTTTAAAATTATACAACTAGATCGCACACCCCATTCATTAATATGTGCTTTAAATATCAAAGGTCTTTGTCTTCTTTCTACATGTACTTATTAAGTTGTTTTGTATAGATAAATATTATTATATGCTAATACAATACTTAATATTTGCCAATAAAAATGTGAGCTACTTCGCTGATCAGCAGGAGTCAGACATGATTCAATATTTCGTAACATGAAATTGAGATAAATTAGTCTTGTAGTGAAGTAAGTCATTAAATAATAAGAATATTTTTATTGTTTCCAATACCTACAGGTCAAAGAATTACAATAAATAACTAAAAAATATTTCTGATGGATATTGGCAGTCCAATATTGGTTTTATTATGATGTATTTTAATTTTAACTACTTTATTTATTTTATACTGGTGGGTGATTTATAAGTACCTACCTACTAGTAAGATGAAACTGCATTTGAATGCAGTTAAAATAACAGGAAAACGGATGATAAATATAAATGGTCCTATTATTGAGAGGACATTGGTAATAAAATGTATTACGTAAAGTTTTACTAAAAGACTGTAATATCAATATAAAGTCTTTAACATGTTCTGATATTTGCCTAGGTTTTTCATTCATAATTTCAAACGAATTATCTTAAGACACGTTATAAAAAAAAACACGTTACTTAAGATTAATTTCCAATTTCTCCATAGATGCATTGTACTGGTCAAATTTCTATTTAATCCTATCCTACTGGTACATTGAACCCCGTCTAGATACAAATTAGTACGCCCCAGTTTGGGCTAAGCTAAGTACGCGTGTACTGAGCCTGTCTAAAATCTCACTCGCAAATGTAGAGTTGGTAAACAGAATAGCTGTTTTATTTCATTTTGATGAGTGAATTTTGTTGATAAACACGAAGAAAATTCATTTACTTTAATGTAGTCACCTTTTCCCAGTTTTATAATTAGTTCTTAAAAATTGAACACAAACTCAGACTGCGTTCTTAAAGACTAATAATGCCTTGCTTATCAAACACCAGATTTTTAAATGCTGCTACACACTCGGAAGTACTCCCATTGTGGGTGTTTCCAAATGCAAATCTAATACATACAACACACCCAAACCCGGAACAACCCGAGAGTCATACAAATATTGATTTGAATAACCAAAACGACGACGCTTAAACATAAAGGTTCCGCTTTATAGTTACCTAGGTATTCGATTCTGATTGAGTATTCCGCAGTAAATAATATTTATATCTAGAAAGGCATCTTCTAAAATGCATTGTATAATGTCTACTGCAATATTATTACGATACATTGAAGCCTAATGATTTAATATTTCATTTCATTCATTCGGATCATGATAACAGTGAATCGCTACCACAGCTGCAATCGTATTGTTTTAGTGACCTTACGAACTACGCTTTGAAATACAAAACTATGAATAATGCTTCTTATAATTATTGTTTTACTTGAAATTTTATTTATTTTTAAAGAAACAAGTTTTATTCTACGTACTATCGCAGAATACTATACTCTATTAATATTCCACTATGACTTCTAAAAATAGAAATTATGTGTTGTATTTTTAGAAAGTTATTATATTAATATTTATCTGTTTGTTGTGAGGTATTATAATAAATGTTTTTCATAGATAAGTGTTATAATTGTATGCTTACAGCTTTTAAGCGAAACTGAACCTTGTTGTAAGGACACTAGTCTTTCGGCTTTCCGACAGGCATTACTAGGACATTAAATTGTTGGGCACAAAATATTGTTCTGAGTGACTTCAGGTTCCCAAGATCTTTGATTCAGGATTTTTGTTGGGTTGAGAAATTAAAAACATTTTCGCACGTGAAAAATACATAATTAAATCGAAGATCTCTATTCTTATCTACACCTCTGACTGAAAATCTTTGGGGGTACGATACAAGGAAAAATATAATGTATAGATTTTATTAGTAAATTAAAATATATATATAACAAAAAGTGTATATATGAACTGAACATAAGCCTAGTTTTCCTCGAGAGGTGGAGAGAACAGAGCTTAGATAAAATTAATTTTGACGCCGTATTTTAACTAAGAATTTCGAAATACAAAAACCCAATCCTATCTACTTTAACCGATATATCAATATATTTATGATCATAAATTATGAAATAATCACATAATACACACATTCAAAAGTTTTGTGGTTTTATTAATTAAATATTCAGAATGAAGGCGGTCCTGTGTCAAACGCGCTTGAAGTTACATTCGTTCACGGAAAATTTTCATGTCGAACCGTTTTTTTCCTATATACGTACGTGTTTTAGAATTAACATAGATGTGCCAACTTTTAGTTGAAATGTGATCGTAACTTTTATTGGCAACTAACTTATTGACCGACTTAAATCTTAGTTTGTGACAGAAAAGTGCAAATGTTGCGGTTTATTCTATCTAATACTTGAAAGCAGGCTATGTCGAATGTATTTATTAAGTAGGTAATTTTGTTAACTCGCTGTTTGAGTAGATGTCGCTTTTTTGTGTAATTTTCCTACATCCAGTTTGTCAGATAATTCTGATAAATACTTACTTTTATTTTACCGACAGATGTAGTCATATTATACTTTAGATATTTTTAATTAATCAGAAGAATATATTGTTAAAATTGTCTTGATGATCTAGAATTAGATTCTAGAACTCAAACTAGTACTATTATTAGTAGGGAAGGTATATATGACTCATCACAAAGACAGAAAGCTTTAATTGTGTGTACTTAATGCAAAAAGAGAGTACATTTATTTAAATAGAATGAAGTATGAATAAGATGATTCATTTAAGCTTCATAATTCGCAGGCTTTGTCGTTCTGTAGAACGGGCAGCTTAGCTTTCAGCTAAGGTTATCTATGAAATGCAGAAACAGCTTTGTACAGCTTAGCCAGCTCTTTGTCAAGAAGTCACTGAATAATTCGAAATCCTATTACTCATTTGAAAGAATCATTCAATTGTGTAATACACCACGTAATCAGTTCTTAGGTTAAAAGTCTACTATGAGTAATCTTTGAAAAAATACCCAACAAAACATTTTACAACGTAAACAAAGATAAACATTTGTTTATTGTATTATCGTTTACGCAAGAAAGTTATGAAATTAAAAATTATCTAATAACTAAATAAAAAATTGAAAACCATAAGCACGTACGATGAATTCTACTGTTTTGTTGCTTAACTTACAAGATAATGGAAATAGCGTGTTTCGTTTTAGATAAAAAGGTACTTAAATAGAATTTGTAAAGCTAAACAATGATTTTACATATCATATCGCCTGATTTAGGTTTCATATTTGGCCTCGTAGTTAATAGTCTTTCCCACGCGTAAGTGCTACCCGAAAATTATCAAAAATAAGAATGTGTTCGGGTTATTCTACCATGAATGACTAAAGTTGTGTATTGCGATGTAAAACTTAATGAAAACCATACTGATTACCATAAAAAGTGCATAAAATCAAGAACATTTTGACTTAAAAATACTATAGGAGCAAACTATAACACTTTTAGACCAGACAGATCAAAGAAGACAACGTAGATACTTAATTAGAGGTATACCTTTCGTGAGACATACTAAATTAATTATTATATTTTCATCTAACACACGTAATTATTAGACGAGGAACTCGGCTAGTTTCAAGCCATGCTAGAAGCTAATATTCATGAGCACTATGGTCTATCAGCTTTCCGCGACCCGCGACGGGGCGACTGTCACGCTGCTACTGCATAGCATGCCTTGAAACTAGTCGAGTTCTTCGTCAAATAATCACGTGAGTAAGCTGAAAAACATAATAATTAACGTAGATAATATTATCTACGTTACTATTTAACGGTTTTAGCTTTAACAGTTAACTCTTATAAACATTTGACGGATGAGGCAGCCGCTGTCAATATACTTACACATTATTTATTATACCTTATTCCATATTTCCGCATAGCAATTGAAAAGAACTCAATCGTAGGAAAATGAATTGTACATTGACAATGGCCTTTAGCAAATTGTAAGTAATTACTACGGCAGCATTGTATGTAGTTACCTAGTTGCGAGTCACCTACACTACGCCTACGTCACACTCATAGCACGTGATAACCATGTCGTACTATGAAAAAGTATTCACTTTATTGTAACCATTAGATTATAAAGGGCAATGAAAATAAAAGCAATAACATTGATTAAAAAATGCGGAAATGATGATGTATTTTTGATGCATTTCTTT